TGCAAGCTTCAAGGTCTACTTCTTTCACTTTGATGAGGAGTATGAAGAAGGAGAAGAAGAGTTTGGTAATAGCTTCATCAAGTTCAGAGCTAACAAGGTGCGGTACACACTCGGATTTACTGAGCTGGAGAGTATATTTTGATTTTCTGAAGGCACTAGAGCTCAATCCATGAGTTTCAAGACCAATGAACTCAAGAAAGTATGGGAAGAGGTAGCGAATGGGGCATACAAAGCTAGACATCTAAGGAGTGCAGGCATTCGCCATCCTGCCATCAGATATGTCCACTGTGTGATCACAAGCACACTCTTCTACAGGAAAGAACAGAACATGGTGAAAGAATAAGAGATGGGCTTGTTGGTCAAAGGCTTGAAGAATATCTTAGTGGAAACAAGGCATGGGAAGATTTCTGGTGAGCGCTTAGGAGTGAGACTCATTACCATCCTCATGAAGCAATTCCTCTCTAGCCAGCAGTGGGCTCTAAACACCACTTATAAGAAGCCAAAGCTAGCCATTGGAGGCTTGATCACACCCATCTTGCTTGGCGCCGGTGTGGAGCTTAGAGAATCGGATGTGGGGATAAATTTCACTGATGTCCCTTACCTTGGGAAGATCGGTTATCTCTCTGGAGTTATGGGACAGGATATACCTACCAGTTTGAGCTTGATGAGGAGATGAAGAAGATCCTACTGCCCAAGCAACGCCTTACAAGTTTCACTTCTTTTGAGTACATCAGCTTCATGCCAAGTGTGGATGAGTTATATGACCCAAGAGTTGATCCGCCTTTGATGAGACCTAGCAAGGTCAGAAACATAAGCACAGTGAGAGACTCATATGTGGAAGATGATGATGAAGGGAACAAAGAAGAAGAGGCATTGGAGCACCAAGACTATGATAGCCGCCCCTATGCCTTTGATCCTTACCAAGTGATATGCACATCTGAAGCATCAAGAGCTGCTCATGAGCACGTTATGCTCCTTCAAAGTTGGAATAACTTTTAGGATAAGGCAATAAGAGGCCTCATGAAGTCAATGAAAGCTAGCAAAAAGTCGGTTGATTCTCTTAAGAGAAGGGTGAAGAAGCTGAAAAAGAAATTGGAAGGATCTTCATCCAAAAAGAAGACTGATCAGGCTGTGCAATCCAAGAAAGAAGAAGAAGGATCATATGGTGATAGCATGTCTGAGGTTGAGCCTCATTCCACGGTTCAAGAGAGACACTCTTTCCACATTGTTGAGAGGCAAAGAGCACAACCAACCTAACCGCCAAGGCATTCTTCTCATGTACCGGTTTCAAGGAGCAAAGGAAAGAAGAGGAGGACCAGGCAGAAAACTCCATCTGAAGAAGACGCCTCTCCTTCCCATGTCACTTAGAGCTCAGTCTCTCACCACTCCTCCATCTGAAGTAAGGTACATTATTCATCTTGTAAATACCACTCATTTTTTTGAAGTTTTTTGCGATTGCTTTCTTGAGTTTATGAGCACTCTCTTCACCATTTTTATTACACATATATGGTGTAATTTAAGTGTGGGGGGGGGAGTGTATGATGACCTAATGATTTCATTCGCATTTTCATATAGATTAGATAACCATGCATCATACTTGCATTGCACTTAAGGCATAGAAAATCCAGAAAATTTAAAAAAACAAATCTGAAAATTTGCTCCACAAAAAGAGAGTGTTCATGTGCATTCATATACGACTTAGACTTCATGCATTCATTTAGGTTTAGCTTGCTTTTTTTAATTTGGGAACAATGGTAATCAATCTTTGTAAATGCTAGTAGTTTATGAAAATGATGCCTTGTTCTTTGTCATTTGGTGCAATTGATGTTGAAATATAAATAAAGCTGAACCACTTTTGGAATTTACAGTTTTGAAAATCTTGTTTGAAACTGAAGCATGCTTTAAAATGAAATCAGTCTTTATATAAGTGGAACCTTAATGAATCTTGTAAATATCATGTCTTGTGCATATGTGAGTGTTGTCATGGATTGATTTTAAAATATTTTCACTTTCTTTTCCTCTTTTACCACTCCTGAAAAAGTCCATTTAGACCACCACACCTTTAACCAAGCCTTCTTTCAAGCCAAAACATTAATAGTGAGCAAATTGTGAGGCATTTTCTTCATGGTTGTAGCTTAGCAACAAGTGTTGGGTTGGAACTACAAGGGAAGTATTTCTATTGTAGAACTATCTCACTCTTGAGTTAGGCTGGGGAGTTTGGGAAAACGTTTGGGGTTTATTTTGGGTTTGTTCAAAAGAGATGAAAGAGAAAAGAGAGCAAGGCAAAAGAAAAAGAGTGTGACACAGTTTATGAGTGGAAATGGCAGCTAAGTTCAAAAGCAAAAGAAGGAAGGCTCAAGTTTACAAGCAAATAAAGATGCAAGAAGTGCAGTGTTTAAATCAAAAAGCCAAAGGCAAAATGAAGCACAAGCATCATAAAAAGGAACTAAGTTCATAAAAAGAAGCCGGCACCACAAGAAGTTCAAAGAAAAGGTGTCCATCCAAGCGCTTAAAAGAGAAGAAATTTTGGGTTTTTATTTGGGTTTAAAGTTCTTAAAAAGGGTAGCTTGGGCGGGTTTACATTGCTTAGAAATAGTTAGGAACTTATCTTATGGGTCTTGGGTAGATGGGAGTTTTCCCTTGTATGTGTAAGTTGTTCTTTGACCCTTAGCATTTTGCCAAAGCTCAACAATGCTTTCTTGAGAGAACCCTTTGAAACACCAAAATCAGTTTGATAAAATGGAATCATCTTTGTTCCATAAGCCTTGTCCCTTAGCCAAATGACACTCTTGCACTTGCATAAGCATGATTCGCAGTTTGGTATTAATGAATGTTAAAAAGGTTGATTCATTTGATCAGCTTGTGTAAATTGGTAGCATTGTGATCATTATTGCTTTGAGATGAAAGTGGCTAAGTGTTTGGAGTATGGTTCCATCAACAGTTTCTTAGGATTAGAAACATGGACATCATTTTGATTTATTGTTAGCATTTTAAAGATATGAGTTCCCATTTTAAAACCTCATCACCATGCTATGTGTTTTGTTTGCTGGAGGGCAAGCAAAGACTAAGTGTGGGGGTGTTGATAGCTTGCTATATTGTAGTGTTTTAGGCTGTATTTTATACATCATTTCCCTTATTTTTGCATCTTTTCTTAGTATTTTAGTCTCATTTTCATATAGAAGTAGCATTGCGTGCATATGGCTTAGGATTGTATACATGTGCATGTGTATGGTGTATTTCAGGTGTATTTGGAGGTTTTAGAGCTTGGAAAGGAGATTCGAGCAGCAGACGTTCAAGGAAATACCAAAAGAAGAAGTCTTGCAAAGTTCTGTATCTATATCGAGGTGGAGCATCGAGCAGAACACCTGTGGAGTGTGCCCGATGTAAGCCGCAGTACATGGAGAAGAGGACTTGGACGTAGACTTGAAGATGGTGGTTCACATAGAATTGGCGTGCCGAGCAAGGAGAACCGTACGAGCCGATTCAGAGATACAGAACATATCGAGTCCCATCATCGAGCATAACATCTGGTGCCTTACCCGATACAGCCCACAATCCACTTCTTCATGATCAACCGACCAGGAAAACAACCCGCAGCACAGAAGACTCGCATCGAGATGAGACATCGAGCAGAAAACTGTCTGTACTGCCCGATGTGTCTGATCCGCGCGTTGACCAAACTTTTTCTTTGACCTTATCATATTTTTTAGGTTTTTCCCTTCTTTTGTGTCTTTAGTTTAAAAGGGAAACCACAAAACATTATCCCTTATGCTATCTTTTATCTTTAGGCTTATCTTCTCTTAGTTGGCAATTTCTTTAGATCTTTGTAAAACTCTTATTTTCTCAATCAAGTCTTGCGATTTCTGTTTTAGATTCATGTGTTCTTGTTCTATCTTGCTTGCATCCTGGTAACTTAACTTTTCTTTTTTCTAATTTCGCATTTGTCTCATTTAATCATGGTTAACTATAATCAAATGAGTTTAAACATGATTAATGAGTAGTTTACCAAAGATTTGAGTTTTAAGTAGGGAAAACAGTTTTTAAGGGTTGATTAAGGGTGTTTAGGCTTGTTTAATGTTAATTTCTATTGTTTTCTTCTATTACAAAGCTGTTAATGATTAGAAAGCATCTCCTTTTGATTGAATATAATATTGTTGATGTTGATGATTCACTGAGAGCTTGATGTCTTGTGTCTTCACATGGTTCACTTATTTAGCTTGATAGTTTAGCATTGCTTATGGTTCCTTTGTCTTGTGACACCAAAGTTAACAGTTTGCTATGCTAGATGATTCGCTTAGGGCTAGTTAATGTATGATTCATGAGTCTTGCTTGATAGTTTGATAGTTTGCATTAAAGAACATTCCTTTGCTTGAAATCTGATGCATTGCTTTAGCATTGTTTAGGTTTCACATTTGTTGAGCTTAAGGTCATATTCTTGAACTGTTGAGTTGCTGCTTAGATCCCTAAAGAATCCTAACCGATTATAGGTTGATTAGAATCATTGCTTGAGAGAGAGAGGTTCACTTTGATTAATGCTTGTTTTAGACAATTATGGTTCTTGCTTTATGTTCATAGCTAGTGAATACACCATCAAAAGTGGGTTTGACATACTAGTTTTATTGAAATGAATTTGTCTTATACACCATGAGCTGACACCTTGTTTAGGATTGCAATATTCATAAATACTTGCTTGAATTGCTTGTTTGAATGCCTTGTTTTTAGTAACCTTTAATCACTCTTTTGACCACTTGACCATTATTGCTTAGAACCTTAGGTCTTCCTTTTAATTTCTTAGTTCAATTCGCATATCATCTTGCTGCATTTGTTTACTTGAGTTCATCATCTTACTTAATTACATTCTTAGTTTCAATTTCAATTTCTTGCATTGTTAGATTGCTAGATTTGTTCTTTCATCATTAAGACCCCATCATAACTGAACTTAGCTTATAAATTGTATTTTATACTCCACAATTGGATTGACATCTCTTACTATACTACAATTGATTAGAAGAGACATTTGTCCATAGACTTGAAATATTTCTTCGAAAAACAACAAATTAGTGGGCCTTGTAGGCTCATATAAAAATTGCAAAAATCAACGATTTCATAGGAAAAGAGAACCGTTACAAATTCAATTCTGAAGAGCAATATGCTAATGCGAGGCTGCGAGCTAAAAAACAAAACAAAATTTTCAAACTGAAACAAAAACGAATTGCTATCTTCCTCCACCAGCCTGACGAAGCCACCACGCACTACTTGATCTAACCATCGAGCCACCATTTACATTATTATGCCCAAGAGTTGGATTTGTTTGAGGCTGCCACTCTGGTAGTAGTACGTCATTATCGTCATCATTAAAACCTTGGTGGTTCAACAAAGGTTCAGATTTTCCATATTTACGTATAAGCTCTCTTACAGATTCACACCCTCTGGTCCGGTTCATGACAACATCTCCACGAGAAAAATAGTTAAATTCAGGCAGGTCATCATCATCATCACCATGCCGAGCCATGGCCATTGGACCAAACCCTGGTGGCACGTCACCACCATCTTCTTGGTTGATCTGTGGCTTGTTGTTACTGTAACGAGACGTATTAAGTGTGGTTAATGAAGAACCGTGGTTCTTGTGCGAGTTAGATGATAGTGATGGTTTTCTAAATTGTGGTCTTCTCCATACAACAACACCTATAAGACCATCATCATCTAAAGAAAAATCTAGTTGGTTTCTTGGAACAATCTTGCTTAGGATCTCGCCGGTTTTGCCACGGTTTGGGCAGAGGTAAAGCTCAACTCCTGAAGCCGGTTCAGCGTAACCCACCCTCTCGTCTTTAGCGTACGAATCGACCACCTGTATGATTACGATACCAAATTTCCAAAACTGTTACTAATGAAGACACTAATATAACAAGTAAAGAAGACGATGCTGCCATATGACAAAAATTTAGAGGACCGGTTTAGATTTGGGTTTTCAGCTTATGAGTAGCATTAACCAAGAAGTTAAATCCTGTATATAAGGACTTGGATACGGTTTTTCAATATGGATCCGGTTTTTTATATGTAAACAAAGTAAACCCATTTTAACCATATTAGGATTTAGTTCGGTTTATTTGATTGGTTAAAGACTTAAAGTTCAGTTCTCGATTGGTTTATCCGGATAACACACTCCTATACAGAATCTTAGTTAATTACCAAAGCTCATACCTCAGAAACGAGTTCTTGTTCTGTCTTGGAGCACCCTTTTTTGCAGACGAAACACATAACCTGTAACACACATGACAGATACTGAGAACAAGTTTATAATATACATATAGAATCGAGAACAAACATGTCTTAAATATGTTGGAGTATCCAAGCCTATTCAAGAAATTGCCATTGTTCTGGTGAAAATATTATTTGTAACTCCATCAATCTCCATTATGGTTAACTAGAAGAATTTTCTCCGTCCTTCACAAATCAGCATCTGCGTTTAAACTTCGTATCTTCCTCTCTCCTTAATGCTTCTTTTAAACACAGCATAAACTTCTATCTTAACTAAGCAGACAACTTTCTATGGGTGTGAAAATTGCGCATAATGAGTTTGCATGAGAAGAATCAGGATATAAACAGTGAAGTTAATGAAAGAGTTTAAACTTGTAAGATAATACCATTACAGCACGACTCCTGGAATTTGGGAGCTCTCGAACAAACTTCTCAAATGCATCTAATTTGACTCTACCCTTGATCTCAAGCAACATAGGCCACTCTTTTGTAGTAGTCTTCTCGCCACTGTCAGGAGTACAAAACTCAAGTTAGTAAATGACATAAATTGGCGAAGTCTTTTTGCACTAAAAAAATCTTCCAAGCAGCTGATAAACACTGGAATAGTATAAATAAGAGTCCCTGACCAATCATAAAGAAAGCTTTTAAAATATGCAAACCAGTATTTGACAGAATACGAAATACTGAGATAGGTTTGCTACCACTCATTGAACCATTGATTACAAACCTTTTCATAATGCCAATGACAGAGCTCAGAGAAGAAACACTCAACTGCAGTGCACCTTCCCACACACGTTCACCCGCGGGTATAGAAGTGGTTTCGGATTTTAAATCAGAATAAGGCTTTGACGAGACTATGTCGTCATCATCATCAGCCTTAACTGGTGATGCCTCAGCCTTGACTGGTGATGTACCAAGAACAATATTAGCACTTTCTTCATGTGATGTCGAAATCAGAACCGCCTCTGCATCAGTATTACCTGAAACACAAGGTCTTTTCCCGGTATCTGCAGACGAAGAGTCAGATGGAGATACTGAATCCATGGATGACATGAATTTATCAAGAGAGACAATTGGAGGAAGAGATCCAGTGGCAGCCTGCATCCCATCATCTATTGTGACTCCGTTAATCAAGCCAGTGCCCTCATTAGAGATGTTCAATTTAGTCTTGACAAATGTTTTCTTCTTAACATTCTTTGGTCGAGACCAGTTAAGCGAACTCGATCCAACAGAGACGTCCACAGAGCCACTATCCATTAATTCGACTTCCACTTGGAACTCTCCTTTGTGTGTTTTCCTTACCAAGCTTCTTATATCTACCTCTGTGTCCTGCAGAACAACCATTTGAGCCATCTCTTCTGCTTTTGCTTGTCGCCACTCTGCAAGTTCCTTTGAAGCAAGTTCCTCAGCTGACATGGAACACAACCGCTCTGCTGCAATTTCACCATACATAACTTTTTCCCTGAGCTTAGGATTGTTCTTGTCTTTCAAATTGAACAAGAGAGACCTTCCTTTCTCTTTGTATTTCTTATTCACACCACCAAATAACTTAAAGAGTTCTGCCTCTATTTTAAACGACAAAACTTGTGGATCCAGTAACAATTTCTCCTGGCTCTCATCATCAGCCATCATAGCTCCAATCATTTCATTTTGAAAGTTTTCTGTAAACTCTATATCCGAATCGAGAGCCCAAGAGAGGTCATTCCCTTGCAAAAGATCATCCTTTGTAGACATATTGTCATCATATGAAACATCGTCTTGCGGAAAAGGGTTTACAGCCGGAGGCGGTTCTTGTGCAGTGACCTCTTTGGCTGCATCACTTGTCTCGGTGATATCCAAAATCTCCGGTAACACTGTCTCAGCAGAGCCACCTCCCTCAGGACTAACCATTGCAGTGATCACATTCGATACCGTCACATCAATTCCAGAAACCTCACTGACATGACCTTCAAGAGGAGTAGCTGCAGTCTCAAGATGTAACCTTTTCGACTCCTTGTGAGCTTCCATTGGGCACTGTACCATTGCTAGTGCACCTGCTAACGATTCTCTCATCTTAGACCTCACGGATTCGGATGATTCGTTCTGACGTTTCAGCGGTTTTGGTGAAACTTGTTTCCTAGCTTGAGTTTGCTTCACAGGTTTACTCTTACTGAACACTGCAGGCAAATACTGTGTTCTAGGGGAAACAGAAGCTGACTTCACCGGCATGGGACCTTTACTTAGCTCAGACGCCAACGCTCTGTGTTCCATAGGCACCATCATCCGTTTATTTTGCACTGACAAAGATTCAGGAGAAGAAGCATTCCCACTGAACAAAGGCTGCAATGGTGATTTCCGCTTACCGTGTAACTGAGATGTATCCATGGACACAGATCCTACAGCAGCAGGACGAGTCACAAACGATGGCTGCACCATTACATTACAATCCTCCCTCACAGAGATCTGACTTCTTACTTGCAATGAAGGAGCTTCTTGATAATTACAGATTGGTTGTGATTTAGAAATCATCTCTGGAGAAGGAGTAGGGACATTGATACATGGACCTATTTGCATACTTGCCTGTGCAATTACAGGAAATGGCTGAGGCAAGAGATTGTTGGACATAGCTGCAAAACTGGAAGCAAACATTCATTGATTCCGAGCAATAAGAAGATCACATCAATGGTTCATTCGGAGCGATTTCAAAGGGTCACATGGTAAAACCTAAATCGATAATGCCAGTAAGAGACGAGGTGATTACCTGATCGGCGATAACGGAGGTAGAGAGATTAGAGGCGGCAAACGGGAGAGAGAGGGATCTCTAGGCCGAGCATGACTGTGTTAATCCAAAGGGAAAACGAGTGGCGGTGTTATAGTGAAGAAGGAAACCCTAAAGGAACTTTAGGGGATGTGAGAGATTAAAGAGGTGGAGTTGTTAACTCTATAATTAATCTCACTAGCCAAAATAATTTAAGCTGTTAATTGGGCTTGATCCCGTCCAAACGGACATTTTATTTTTACAAACAAATATGGTCGTATTTTTAAACAGTAACTATAGGTGGTTGGCTTAAGTATGTGCAGATATAAAATTTTAATGAAAATTAGTTAATAATAATATAAAATAATATTATATTTTCTCCATTTTATATAATTTGATGTTTTAGTTTTTATTTTTGTTCTTAATAGATTAATTTTCTAAATTATGTCTATTATATTTCATTATTTTACAAGAAATTTTTTGTAGCTTTTTTATTTATTATTCATTTTTTTTTCTAAAAACCAAATGAACTAACAAACAAATAATTAATAAAGAATTATTAAATAAAAAAACAAAGAAAAAATAACTGATAAATTAAATTATAAATGTTTTTTAATATCTGTGAAACATTTAAAAGATTAAATAATAAAAAGAAGTATATTTTATCATTTTTTATAATATTAATGATTATTGTTATTTTATAACAAATATTTTTATTAAAAATAGAAAACTACTATTAGATTATTTAATATATAATCTTTATTTTTGTAATGTAAAGTAAACTATTTTTGGTTTTTATAAAAAATATTTATAATTTTTGTTAATATTTAATATAATTTTTAATTTAAAATTGTTTATCAACTAAAACACTGAAAAAAAAAAAAATTAATTAATTATATGATTTTTATGATTGTTGTTAAATGTAAAAATTGCACTGTGTAAAAACATAATATTTGCAAAAAGAATTGGAAAAACTATTTAACACCTAAATATTATAATTCACTTATTTCTAACATGTTATTCAGGAACAAATTTTGGGATGCCACGTGGAGGTATATGATTCGTCCGGAGAATGGAGCCATGTGTCCGAGTTGTATCCTCTGTGGGAAAGGCGACGAGGCGTTCTGGGGCGGAAGTTGATTCGGGTCCCATCGGCTGGGTAGTAGGTACGTTCGATCCTGCAAACATTACACAAGAGGTCAATCGGACCTTCGGGAAGACCGAAATTGTGTTTTCCTCTCGAAGGCTCTCCGATGCCCAAGAAAATGAATGCCCTGAGTTAAGAAGAGCTTATCCTGGATGGCATTGTCTCAGGGGAACGGGTAGGTTCTCTCTTGATTCTGCTGTTCGTCGGAGAAAGTCGGTGCGGGGTGGTCGGACCTCTGAACCAACTGCTCAGAAACAGTGTATGGGAGTAGTTTGGCTGAGCTAACATGGTGTGTGTCAGTTTTTAGGGCAGTTCGACGTCCACGTGTTGCATCCTCCTTTGGTGCGGTAAAATCGGTCCCAACAGCTGCTCTCGACTTCTCGACTGATTGAGGAATGAGTCGGGGAGTCGACTGATAAGGCTCAGGTTTTACCTAATTAATTTACTACTGCAAGTGCACAGCAAAGCAGTTGTAGCATAAAAGGTCATTGAATCCCAAGGGAGTAAGTTAACTACACTATAAAGTTCAAGTTCGGATTAAAATAAGCAGTAAATAATGTATGTAATGCGAAATAAGTAAAGTAATGAAAGCAGGCGAAATTTGTTAATTGAGATAAGTTCAGAAAGCTAAAGGCGCTAAGTCAGGACAATTCGCAGGTTGAATCCGAGAATGTAGAATGCATGCAATCAGGAATGAATTAAAACCTTCTAGAACTTGAAACACAAAGATATAACTAATCAACTCTCATTGCAGAAGTTATCTATGTCTAAATCACAGAATTTCAAATCTCTTTGCAAATTTTAACAATCTAAACATGCAGTAATGATCAGGTTCAATTGTTCAGAAAACTCTTAAGTCAAATCTCTTTACAAATATGCGTTTTGCTCATCTAATACTAGTTCAGGTGGTTAACAATGTTCTCACGTTTATTAAACAACCTAGGGTTTTGAAATCTAGATGAGCAACTCCAGAAATCGATGTGAATGCAAGTATAGATGAAGAACTAATGGATTTCCTAACAATTTAGCAATTCTACGAACTCTTCATCAACCTTTGAAAAACCCTAATTTAACTAACAAACTACTCAGACATGGTGAATTGAAAAAACATCATGAATAGAATAGATTACATTAAAAAAAATAAGAAATAAAGATAAAGGAGTTCGAAATCTGCTCTAAAGAAGTCTGATTTGTCTCTCCAAAAGCTCTGCTACAAATCTCTCTCTAAAGCTCTCTAGAAATTCAGATACAAACCAAAAGTGGTTGAATAACCTAATATACAAGCTAAAAACAAATTAGGGCCTTTTGTAATTAATGAAAGTTTTGGGCCAAAACTGTAATTTCCTATCCATCTTTTAATAAGGCTTCGTGATTCCTCTCAGACGTGGGTGACGAGCGTCACCCATAAGTGGTGGCGATCGTCACCAGTACAATGCAACGCCTTCTGAGTTGCTAACTTCGGGGTTGATTCTTGCAATGATCCAAAAAGCTCCAAAACCTCCAATTATGCTTCAGTCATGCTATAACCTGCAAAGACTCTACTAGAACTCTAAAAAAATCAAAAATACTCAATAAAAATGACTTATACCATGGTTAAAAACCATAAAAAACTATGATATATCAACTCCCCCAGACTTAGCTTTTGCTTGCCCTCAAGCAAACATCAGACAAAGAACAGGGCAGAGGTTTGAAAACAGAAACAGTCAGCTAAACATTAGGAACGCCACATTGATCAACACTTTCAAATTCACACACCACAAAGCCAACACAAGATCAAATTTCAGTCTACTTATCACAAGCTTAGCAATCTCTCAAATCCAGTTCAAGCCCCTTCAAGAAATCCAAAATCTCTACTACTAACTCCTTTTATCTAAGTATGATATCTCATTAAGGATTTATCAACTCAATCACTTATAGATTCTTTTCCCTTCCTAAACATTGAACAAAGCAATCTCAACACAGCTCTCATATTTTCTCTTCCCTTGATCTTTTCCTTTAGATTTTTTTCGATCTTTCAACTTATTTTCTCATTTTTTTACAGCCTAAGATATGGTGCTACTCAATACTTGTGTTCCTTGTGAGGAGACAGGTTCATGAGTGTTAACTAATAATATTCCTTGTAAGGATACAGGGTCATTATGCACCATTCTATAGATTTAAACTTATAAAAGATGTATCAGGGAGATCAAAGAGAGACTGCATCTAAACATTCTTGCCAGAGCTGAAAGAGAGAATCAAGATCAATGAGAATCAAGCCCCAAGATGAGAAGTTTAAAGTTCATTAAGGTGGAGTCAACAGAAGATTTTCCAGATTCTCTAAGACCCTAAACCTTATTTGCTAGACTGATCTACCTATGACTTTCAACTTAGTAAGACTTGTAATCAACAACTGAGGAAATGGTTCCTATAAGCACCAATGTTTTGTGGTTAGTTTCAAATTTTGACTCTATAAAACAGGTTTTTGACTCAACTTTAAGACTCCCAAAACAAGACACAAAGTACACAACGTCAGTAGCCACCTCCCCCAACAACACTGTCCCCAGTGTTATTAAGCCCGGAGTTGGTGAAAATAGAAGAAAGAGAACACAAATAGCAGAGGTTGAAAGTGGTACCTCGCATTAGATGTGGTAAAGAGCGTCACCCATTACTGGTGACCAGGTGGTGAGCTCGAGTGACGACCTTGGTCGTCACCAGTGGGTTGCCTCCCACCAAGCACTTGTTTAAAGTCATTAGCTCGACTTTGAATGCTGCTCAACAGCTGGTGGGTGAGAAGGTGGCAGTGAATGCCTTGGAGAAGAATGTCTCCTCATCCATGGTGGTGTATATGCTGTAGGTGCATGAAATCTTCCAAGGAAGTGAGGAACATCAGCAGGGCGGGTTTAGATCGTGGATGGGGCACTTCTTTTTCCTGCAGAATCATCAAAAGAAACACCAAACTTTCTATGAGAATCTTGTTGCTTGCATAAGTGTGAAGCAGCTTTTGCACCTTTTAAGTTCTTATTGATGAGATTAAGAGGTTTGGAATTGGTTCCAGGAAGTGCATATCTTTGCTTTGTTGGAGATTTTTGGTTTGTGGAATGTTGAATTTTTGGTTTGGAAACATATGATGGACTTGCAGCGTAAGGATTAAGTTTCACCTTTGTGTGTGGATTGGTGACGATCGTCACCAGGTTAGTGACGATCGTCACTGATTTTGCAGCTCGAGTTTCTGCAATTTTAGCTCTGCAATTCTTGCCTCCATCACAAGCTCGTCTTCCTTCAGAAACTTGTCATTGATTGAAACCTCTTTTTCGAGCCTAGTGTCGAAGATATCATCTTCACTCCTATCCTCAAACCCAACAGCTTTCACAAAAGTTTTAGTTATTGCTCCTTGAACAGCCATCTTGTTCACTTGCTCACCAGTATCTGATTCATTGACATACCCAGCAGTAATGTCTTCTGAATCCTCCATGACTGGCTCTTCATCTATGGAAGTCCTTACAGAAAATGTCTGATCATCAATGGTGGATTTCCCTCTCAACATATCCATGTCAAAATTCATGACAACATCACCAATATTAAGGTCTATCTTCCCCTTTCTCACATCAATGATGGCACCAGCAGTAGCCAAAAATGATCTTCCTAGAATAAGAGGATCTTTAGGTTCTTCAGCATATTTCAAAACCACAAAGTCTGTGAGAATCATGCAGCCTTCAATGTTAACAGGATAATCTTCTAAGATGCCTTATGGGGTTCTTATGGATCGATCAGCTAAGATAAGAGAGATCTCAGCTGGCTTGAAATCAATCATTCCAAGTCTAGCAGCAACAAAGGAAGGCATCAGGTTAACACTTGACCCTAGATCACAAAGAGAATGGGGAAATCTTCCTGTTGAGATTAAGCAATCAAGCACAAAGTTTCCTGGATCAGATAGCTTCTCTGGAATTCTGCTTTGAATGGCACTGGCTTGTTCAGAACACAATCACCTTCTTCTTCTTCCTTGGAACTGTACCCAAGAGAATTGCACTAATGACTCTGGTACGCAATGCTC